TGTGTCTTAACATCCTACAGTGTTGTTTTAATGAATTTGGGTGCACCAGAGTTTGGTGCATATATGTTAAGGATTGTAATATCTTCTTGGTTAATTGTTCCTTTAATCAGAATGAAGTGACTCTCCTTATCTCTTCTGATTAGTTTTATTTTGAAGTCTATTTTGTCAGATATTCGAATTACAAACCGTGCTTGTTTCTTAGTTCCATTTGCTTGGAATATTCTTTTCCATCCTTTCACCTTAACGTAGTGCCTGTCCTTGAAGGTGAGATGGGTTACTTGCAGACAGCAAAAAGATGGATTTTGTTTTTTAATCCATTCAGTTAGCCTGTGTCTTTTGACAGGGGAGTTCAGTCCATTGACTTTTAAGGTTTTTATTGAAAGGTATGTATTGGTTGCCATCATTTTGTTTGCTGTTTGTGTTCTTTTTCTAATTTTGTGTATCCTCAATTATACTTTTATTTATTTTCTTTCATTGTCACTGGGGTATAGTTGTTCCTTTCTCCTCTCTTTGTATTGCTTCAAGTATTCTTTGAAGGGGCAGTTTCATGGACATGTATTCTTTCAGGCTTTTCATGTCATGAAGATTTTTCTTTCCCCCTCAACTATAATAGACATTCTTGTGGGGTAAAGTATTCTAGGTTGGCATCTATTGTCATTTAGAACTGGAAATATCTTGGTCCAGGCTCTTCTGGCTTTCATAGTTTGCTGTAATTCTGATGGGCTTTCCTTTGTATGTGACTTATTTTTCTTTTGCTACTTTCAGTATTCTTTGTTCTGTACATTTAGTGTTTTTACTACGATATGTCCTGGGGAGTTTCTTTTCTGATCCTATCTATTTGGTGTTCTATGTGCTTCCTGTATTTGTATGGGGATGCTTTCCTTAATTTCAGGAAATTCCCTTCTATAATCCTGTTTAAGATCTGGTCAATACCACTAACCTGAAATTCTTCTCCTTTCTCTATGCCTATGATACATAGATTTGGTCTTTTCATGGTGTCCCACATCTCTTGCATATTCCAGTCCTATATTTTTTTAATTTTTCATAATCTTTGCTTGAGTGGTCCAATTCTTCAACTTTATCCTCCAGTGCTGATATTCTGTTTTCCATTTCATTCATTCTGGTGGTGAGGCTTTCCCCTGTTGTTTCAAGTTGGCTTATTGAGTTTTTCACTTCCTTCTTCATTTCTGCCTGAGTTTTCTTCAATATTTCTATCTCTTTTGTGAATTCATTCAGAAGTTTATCCCTATCTTCTTTTAGTTGTTTGATTTGTTTGTTCCTGTGTTTTTTAAATTCGTTGAATTCCTTGATCATGTTTATGACTCTTCTTTTAAATTCAGTGTCCTGCGTTATCTCTAGGGGGTTCTCGTTGTAGAACTCTTCTACAGGACTGGTGGAGTTTGGTGGGGGACATAGTGTTTTGGCTTTCCATTTTACTAGTCTTTCGTTGTGATTTTGGTATGTGAATTTCTTTTCTTGTTTGTGATTCTGATATGAGAATTAAGTTGAAGTATGCTTCTGTTTGTTATTATTGGTGTGCTTTCGTCATTTTCTTATCGGTTATGTAAAGCTGGTTGGTCCAGGTTTCAAGTTTTCTTGGGTTTTATTTTGGAGGGAACTGATGGCTTCAGATCAGCTACTCAGGAGTTCCCACACAAACCCAAGTCAGGTTCCAGTCAGGTATACTCAGGCTTCATTTTAAGGTTTGGACTCCTACTAGCAGGAACTCACAGCAAAATTTGGGAATTTCCCTAAGGGGGGGGCCGATTTTGGGACTCTCAGTTGGTCTGCTGATTTCTCAGCCCCTTTTCCAGAGGGAGGCCAGAATAGGCACACTCTGGTGGTCTCCTGAGATCACAGTACACAGATGGAGGTTGGAACCTGCCCTCTCAGGCTGTCTGCTAAGATCTCACCCTTATCCTACCAAAGCCAGGTCTGCCACAGGCCAAGGGAGGGGCCTCACACTATCACAGTTGGGGGATTGGGTAGGGTGCAGTTCAGGCAGGATCACCACCATGTGCAGGCAGGATCTGGGTGCTCTCAGGCAGTCGTCCCCTGCATTCTCGGGCCCTATGCCAGAGGCAGGCAGGAACAGGCACTCTCTGGGGGTCTGCTGCTATACAGATGGAGGTCAGAACCCACCTCTCAGGCTATCTTGCTAAGATCTCAGCCTTATCCTATCAAAGCCAGTTCTGCCCCAGGCCATGGGAGAAGCCTCACACAATACCAGTTAGGGAGTTAGGTTTAGCAATTAGGGGAAGCTCAGCACTCTGAGGCAGTCCCCTGTGTTCTCAGCCCCTATGCCAGAGGGAGGCTGGAACAGGCACTCTCTGGTGGTCTACTGAGATCACCCCTTGGTCATAATTTTCTAAGTTTGAATTTGAAGTTTTAACATCAAAAGAAAGATTTATTTTATTCCAAAGTAACCCTGCTTAGGATCCTCCATTTTCATTACCACAAAAACACCTCTGAAAATTCTACAGCACTTTTTTCATAAGACCTAAGCTTCCCCTCTTCCATTTTGTGAACTTCACATAACTGGCGCAATCTATACCCAGGATATCACTCATTATTGGGTGTATACAGCAGAAGCTTAGAGTAATGTGGTGATTAAAAAAAACCTGGCATGTGCTTGATGGTGTGCGCAGAAGCCAGCTAGCTTAAAAAAATGTGTTTGTGGTGGGGGCAGAAAGCACCTAGATTAAAAAAAAAAAAAAAAAAAAAAAAAAAAAAAGTGGTTTAAAGCTTTCAGACTTTCTAAAGTTGGTTTGCTACCAAATCATTTCTAGTCTTTACTCTCAAACCAATCTTGAGCTACATTCCTATATAAACATTAAAACAGCACCAAGAAACAGCTTGTCAGTGAATCACAAGTTCTTTTAGTAAAATATATTTTGAAATTCCAAAATAAAAGTCATCCTTGCACTGCACTATTGTTTTTAAAAATGAATTCCATTATAACTTTTATTTTTCTAGAAACTTTTAGAAATGCAAAAATCTCATGAAAGGTAAGTATCAAAGTGAAGTTTGAAGACAAGGAGCAAGGTGTTCTAGAAGTCACAGCAGCTTGGAAAGACACAGCACCTCCATGAAATGGACTCTTTGACCTTGCTCTTTTGATTAACAACTCAAAGAAAAGCTGCTCTGTTCTTCTTTTCTCTTGAGAAAATTAAAAGCTTCTCTGACATCTGTCAATGAATCTTTTTCAAAGTGTGACAGCAAGGTACCAGTTGACTGGTGAAGGCACTGGGCCATGGACACAAAATAGGAAATGGTTGCTCTTGGTAATCTCAAAGAGCCAGCATAGAATCTTCTGGTATCAGCATGGCTTCAGCCATTGCCAGTAAAATGACAACACAGCATACCATGAGACAGTGTCTCTACTGAGCCCACAATCAATTAACTCATCTTCTTCCCCAAATCTAGTTTGTACTTTGTTTTCAAATTTAGCTTAAGTGAAGAACAATTACATAAGTGCTCGTGGGTACCACAAAAATTCTCAAAGGCAGTGCTTATTCTGCTAAAAACTTTCTGGGGAAGAGAAGTCTTTAAAAAGTAAACACGAATGAAACACTAGTCGTACTAAAATTTGGGCATATAAAAATCATTCTACAATGATTAAATTGATAATAAATTTATATTTGGCAGAAAAATAAAAAAATAAATAAAATTTACTTGTGAAGAATCAACTAGAGGGAAAAAAAAATCAACTGTAGTCAAGACAACCACATCAAATGTGATAGCATCCAAAGGATACAGCCATTAAGAATACAGGCAAGGACATTGGATTTAAGTAGAAATTCTGTCACATGTTAGCAAGTTACTAAGTCTCCTTTAGAAGCACTGCATTAGACAAAATGCAAGCTGTTATAGTACTATATAGCATATTATGCATAGATGTCTAGCAGCGTCTAACAGTCATTAAGTGGTAAAAAGAGTACCTTCTCAGAGTTATCAACTGTAGAAGGAACAAAGGGTACCATATACGTGAATGACTTCTGAAAAAGACACTTTAAAAGGTTTATCTGTAAAAAGCCAGATATGGTGGCACATGTCTTTAATCCTAGCATGGGCAGAGGCAGGGCAATCTCTGTGAGACTGAGGCCAGCCTGATCTACATAGCAAGTGTCAGGCCAGCTGAGGCTACAAGGAGACCCTGTCTCAAAAAAATTAGTAAATAAGCAAAAACAAACAAATAAAAGGTTTATTTGTGAACAATTATTATAAATATAACTATTATTTTAAAAATTTCAGGAATATTTTGATGATACGTTATTTCCCTATGTGGTAAAACTCCTCTTGTCAATGTCATCTATTCCTTAAACTATAAAGTTAAGTGATAAAAATTAAAATAATCCCTCTTACACACCTTCCATATCTATACTTGTTTGTACACAATACCCTCACAAATGTTATATCAGCTTATTTGCCCTTTGTTAGGGTCAAATAAGACTTTTTTTTTTTAAGGCATCTCTTTTTTAAAGAAGCAAATCAAAGCCAATCTTTTGGTAATGGTTTTCAGTTTGAAGATATAACACAGGATCTTGCATTTTAATTGAAGAATCTCTATATATGATGCTGTAGTCTTAAAAAGTGAGAGAACTTACTTTTTACAAATGTAAACATTGGAACAACCTTAATTGGTGCTATTAGAATTTCTGAGGCTACAGTTATTTTCTTCATGCTACCTGTAAGACTTCACACAAAGAAAAAACAGTAATGTAGAGTCCCCACGTGACTTTCCTTTAGTATTGGGGAACAATGTAAGTCTTAATAGATTGGATTTTTTTCTCTCTTTTTTTTTTTGGTCTTGTTTAGTTTTGGTTTTTTTTTTTTAAAGACAGTGTCTCTTTGTAGACCCGGGTAGCCTGGACTTGCTGTATAGACCAGGCTGGCCTGGACCTTACAAAGATCGACTTGCCTCTATTCTGAGTGCTAGGGTTAAATGTGTGCACCACCAGGCCCAGCTTTTAAATACATTGGATTTTTATCACACTTACTTTTTTGTGATAAATGCTGCACAGTCCTCTCTCAATGTCAGGCAATTTACGTAGATGATTTTCTATCTGACCAAACACACTCGATTCCGAATGGAGGACTTCGGATACTGCATCAAGTCGAGCATTTATGTCCCTATAAGAATAGAATAATAACAATGATCAGAATTGTTGGGACTTTGAAATGCAAACATTGCCCAGTTTAATGCCACACTCACTTAGAAAGCATGGGAAGACACTTTCATCTCATTCTTCCCTGCCTCCTCCTATCATCTGGCTCAAAGCACAGGTAACATACAAAGAAAGTCACTAGCTAAGTGTGACAGAAACTGGCCCAGGAGGTAAACACACAGAATTTATTTCCCAACCTCCTTTGCAATTAAGGGCAACCAAGCTGTACTCACTGAGGTATGGATGGAATACTATACGTCACTTCCATGCCCTGGCCCACAAGAACTTTCTGTGCAAGCTTTCAGATTCACTCTGCTTTTGCCAACTACATGTTGAGCTCAAAGTGCTGCTGTGAGCCATACTTTGATTCCATCTGCCTGGTTCATAAGTAGAGCAGAAAATCCTCCACCTCCACATCTGCTACACCAAATGAACTTATGGCAGCAAGTTAATAAACGTCTCATGTAGTTAAACCACTGCAAATGAGTATGTGTTTGCTATAATAGCTTATGCTTCCATGGCTAACAGGCCTACTGTGAGCATAAAACAACTTGGTTATGGTGGTGATGGTGTTGAATTGAGCATGTGACAACTGAAATAGAGCTAAGCAAGGATGGGGGATACTTCCACTGGCTCTCCTTCACCCATTCTTCCTCTGAAAGGGTTCCCAGACCCACCAGACAGGATTCAGGCCCTGTGCCATCCTTTCAGAGACCACCTCTTTGCTCTTTTCATAATCCTATCTTTGCTTAGTTCTGTTTCAGTCGACACATGCTCAATATAACAAAGAGCAAAGTGGAGAACAAAAACTGGAGAGAATGTGATATCAGAAAAAAACAGGAAACTATAGGGTTTTGGGATTTTATCAATGGTGAAATATCCAAGTGATAAGTCACTTAGGAAGAAGTGGTAAGGTCTGGTCAACTTAAAATGGAAATCTGATTGGCTAAATGCATCTTAATGAGATGTGGCCCACTAAGTCCCTGTCATCATCAAAGCTTTACAGTGAATATAATGGCCATCTGTGATAGTAAAGACTGAAGAATAAACATGTCTGGTACGCATGGGCCCTCAGTAAAGTTTACTTCAAATAAACGATCCAGTGGATGAGGAATGAGCAAATGTTTTAGTGAAGATAGAGGATCAGACACTAAGTAAACATGTTGGTCTCTCAAAGTTGTGTTGCTATCCCATACACCAATGTGAAGGGCACACCTGACATCAGGATTCTGCCTGGATGAATTAAATTCAGTAGTGTACAGTTAGTGAAGAGTTTTACTGTCATTGTCCATATACCACCCTGTAAAGTCATGCCTTTCTACAATGTAAAGCCATTTTTACTCCATTCTCTCTGGCTCACACCCTCCACTGTAGAACAAGACCAGACTCTGTAGATATCCAGACTGTCTCCTTAGTTCTCTGAAGGTCAGCCCTGGATTCTAGCCACCTTTTCCATCTCTTTTGTCACTAGTCTAGTCTAAGTGAAAATCATTTTTCCCAATGACTACTGCAGTAGATTAATTTTCCTTCCATGTCAATTCTGTCTCTTTCACAATCCATTCTTTACACTGCAGCCTGCATGGTCTTCCTAATACCCAAATCTGTAAATGGCATATTTTTGCTCTAGGCTCACTGATGACTTGACATTAACCTTGGGTTCTTTAACTCCAGCATCTTTAACAGAACTGCTTAAAAGGCACCTGGTCCCTGCTCACTTGAAGACTCAGTTTGGCTTACCCATCACAGTCTTCCCTTGACCTTGAGTTCCAGTCAGCCTGAATGTCTTTCAGTCTCATGTTCAATACAAGTTCTCTGGCATCAGGGCTTTCTCTCTCTTGCTATTCACTCTGCCTGGAAAATTCTCTTCCTTGGCCCTACTGTCCACTGGCTCCACCTCATCCATCCTTCCTCTGAAAGGCTTCCCAGACCTACCAGACACAATTCAATCCAGGAGCCATCCTTTCTTAGACCATCTCTTTGCTCTCTTCATAGTGGGGATCCTGGCTGCTGTTCTTCTTCAGTGTATTTACTACTGCACTAACTTTCCACTAGACTACAAGCTCCATTGATCAGTCACAGAGTTTCAACATCATTTTTTCATCCCCACAATTTCAAAATCATTATATATGCTTGCTAAACAGTTGTTGAAATTAATTAAACTCAATTCCAAAGACCACAAAATAAATCAAGATGAACTGAAAAACAATTAAATCCTTTTTGCATAGGACTGTTGTGATAAAATAAATCAATGTTTTACTCTAACATTTACTCAAAATGCTATATAAACATGAAGTTTTACTTTAATAACTCATTCCTGCATAAATGAAAGATGACACCAACTGGAATAGACTAGGTTGATGCTACAGATGGTTTGGGGACAGATAAAAGAATGCCATCTGTGAATGTATAAGACGGCCCACATAGATAGCTACTGTCTCAAAATTAAAGGTCTTCTAAAATATAGAAAGAGCAAAAGAATTGAATTTTTACGAATTCTACCAGAAAAAAATTTAAAAGACATAAGACTCTAAATTCCTCAAAGAGACCAGAAAGACTGCACTAAGCTGGTTTCAATCTGCAAAAACTCAAAGGAAGCAGCTTTTAGTCTAACCTGGGGTCAGCCCAGGCCAAAGCACCATGCTCACTATGAATCACTTTGGTATTAACAGTCCTCTCCAGCTCAGAAGTTAAGAATTTGGGCTCAGAAGGCAGATGACTTGATTCATAACCAGGCTCTGCCATCAACTAATTATTTGGCCTTGCTCTGGTTTTCCCACCTATAAACTGGGACTAGCAATGGGCCCTAATTCTTGGTAATATTACAAGAATTTCACAATAAAGCCAAGCATTTAGTACAGTGTCTACAACACAATAACCACTCACTAAATGCTTAACCAATCTACCATCAGTGTTGTAAAATCAGTGTATTAGAGTACACAAAGAACAGTACGTGGAAGGGGAAACTGGAGCCAAAAAGTAATTTTGGAATAACTGTAGAAAACCTTAAGCAATAGATGCAAAAATGAGCATTTTGTGCAAAGTGAGTGAATAAGGAGAGCCGGTCCTGTATCTTAAGCACTAAGTCTACAGGCAGTGGTGGTTTGAAGTATCACGTTGAAATTGAGACCATAGCCTACTACTACTTGCAGGTGCCTATAATGGCAGGGAGAGAGCAAACAGGCATGTGGTGTTGCTCAGTACAAATCTGTCAACACTGGAGTAGTGATAATTCCACTTGTCTTCTGTATGCAAACTGGAATGGAAATGAGTAAGAATACTTCAAAGTTTTTAAAAATAAAACAATGTACATAATTTGTAGTTGTTTTTTAATTAGAAGTACATACAAGACCTTCCAAGAAACTATAGTAAAGCAATATAAAAGACTAGGAGAATCATTATGTTAGTACAATCTGTGACAGAGACCGGGCAAGTGTGAGAAGTAACAAAATAGGAAGCAAGCACTGTCAAATGGATGATGATAAAGTTGTCTTCTTTTCCTTTCCTGCTACTGTGATAAAATACCCTGACAAAAAGTACTAGAGAGAAAAACGGGATTATTAGGCTCATAACTTCAGGTTACAGTTCATCACTGCGGGGAACTCACTGGCAGGAGCTTGAAGCACTAGTCACATCCACAGTCAAGAGCAGAGAGATGAATGCATACATCCTTGTGCTCAGCTTGTTCGCCCCACTCTTAGAGAGTTCTGCATCCAAGCACAGGGAAGAGTACTACCCACAGTGGTCAGGTCTTCCCACTAATCAAGATCATCTCCCACAGACATGCTCAGAGGCCAACTGAATCTGGACAGTCCTTCATGGAGACTCTCTTCTCAGATAATTCTAGATGATGTCAAGTTGACAATTAAAACTAACCATTACAAAAGATAGCATTCTGAGATATCCCACAGTGGTGTTCTGTTGCTCTTACAATATTACACAGTCTAAACCAATGGAGGGAAGGCACCTGAATCGTATCATTCCAGGGGCCAAAAACAATGGACTTGAGGGTCTGCAAATGATAAAGATTCTTTTTTACCACCAAAGACCAAAGGACTGTATGTGGGTATCCCAGGAGTCTTTCACGTTTGGAGAGGAGCTGGTAGATGTTAGTATCACTCAAACCAGTTCAACCTACAGAGCTACTGCTACTGATGGGGGTGGTACCTACTGGTTAGCTCTTGTGATCATGTCCCTACAATTCAAACATAAGGGTATTTGGGGAAAACAAAGGGTAAAATAGAAACTCATGGTGGGGGGATATTAGATTTGGGATTTGTTTTGTTTTGCTTATTTTTCACTGACAAGTTTACTTTAAGGTTGGATGATCAAAATTAGTGAATTAAACTTTCGACAGTAACACACTAGTCATGTGATATGGCTAAGCTGACTATTTAAATAGAAACATTCACTCCACTCCTTTCCTAGGATTGAAGTATTATTACACTGACCTAGCTAGCTTTGCCTTTCATACAACCCACTCAGTAATCAATGAATAATCACTGAACACTTATAAAGCACCAGTGTAGGAGGTGGGAGGGGTGAGAGCTATAACCGTTATCTACATACCTTTGCAACCATGTCCAAAAAGAATTTATATTGTACTAACAAAAAAATAAAACTTTTAAAAATAATTAATAATGTAATTAAATGAAATTTTAAATGTGTTATGATCCAGCTACAATGGGAACTCACAAAGGCAAGTTTTGGGGGTCAGTTTTGAAGACAAAATAGAATTACAACCATTGTTGGGGTTTTTTCCTCCCTCTGTCTCTCTCTGTCTCTGTCTCTGTCTCTGTCTCTCTCCCCCGCCCCTTCTTTCTCCTCATTTGTTTTAAAGAAAAAATAGAGTTAGTTTTAGGGGTCAGGGAGGACTTACTAGGGATACCAATCTTCTGAATAAAAAAGTAGAATTAGTGGGAACTGTGAGAGCAGGAACACGAGAGGTCCCATGTGGCCATATGAACA